GTGTGTGTGTGTGTGTGTGTGTGTGTGTGTGTGTGTGTGTGTGTGTGTGTGCGTGTTGGCGACGGCGTGTACATGCCTGTACGTTCAAATTTTATCATGCCGCAACAATTAATGTCTCTTTTTGAAGATCGATAACATCGTATCTTACCATATCTTACCTACCTCATCTTATATTTCAGAGTACATTACACTATTCGCAACGCTAATTCTTACACTAAAGCCTACGCTAACCATTGCCACTGACCTGCCACTCTAAGGGTCTTTGTTGTCGTGTGAAGTTCCAGATTCTGGCCCAACAGCGCGTCTAGTTTGACCTCCACGGACCCCACAAAGTCGTGATGTCGGAGGTCCATAGATCTAGATAGAGGGAATATTAACAAGGGTGACATTAATACTGTTGGACATAGGGAACATTAACAAGGATGATATTAATACTGGTGAACATAAGGAACATTAACAAGAATGATATTAATACTGGTGAACATAAGGGACATTAACAAGGGTGACATTAGTACTGTTGGACCTAGTGAACATTAACAAAGGTAACAATAAATCTGCTGGACAGAGGGAACATGAATAAGGGTAACGTGAATAAAGTCAAACTTGTCTAAAAAAGCCAGCCATTTTCGAGGAAAAAGGGATTGTCTCTTGTATGAGACAGGTGGACGTCTCAGAGGCGGAAAGCAGCAAGCCTCCTAAACGCTCTTAATTGTGTCGATGGAGGGAGGGAGGGAGGGGCGTGAAACATAATTTACAATTAGAAGAGCAAATAATAATGTGTGTGAAGTCTGGTGGACTCACAAGACAACAGAAGTTTATCGCAGATTTTTTTCCCAAGGCCCTATAGAAGCCATAAGTTATCTTAATCCTTATTTCTTCTGTTTCGTTAAACAAACATTTTCCCCTGCAATTATACGATGGACCGGCGCCTGTGGTGTAGCGGTTAGGCTCTTCGCTGTTGCTCGCAAGAGACCCACATTCAGTTTCCGAGTGGGAAGACATCTATGTATTGAGTAGCTCTGTTTTTCTGTTGGGATTTTATATCCTTCTCGACCCGGGCTGGTCGTGATAGTCAGAGTCAGAAGCCCTCCTCCAAAATGATCTAATATTATCATATTATGTCGGTGGGGACGTAAAAGTTCTACATTTAAAAAACCCACAAGAAAATGGGGACAATCGTGTGTAGGTTGAAGAGATACAAGGGTTGAGGAGGACGAGGGGAAGGGAAAACAGTCATGGCAATGACGTCAACACAAATATTACAGCATACCCCCCCCCCC